CATCAGAGAGCCCCAGTTTTACCCCAGGACCCGCAGTTTTGTAGATAGGTTACACAAGTTAACTCAGGCGACCTCTTCAAAGGATCTGCAGCAAAAAGTTCTGTTTCAGAAGATAAAATCCACCATCACTCTGCACTACATGGCATCTCTCTTAAAATAATTCTATTCATACCACTTCTGATTTAGCAAAAGAAGTTACAATATCCTTATCCGATCTTAACGAGCCACATAAATCCTTAAACTAAAACTAATTTTTAAAGAGCTGCCGTAGCGAGCTATTTGAACTGATGAAAACGCGCCTGAGAGCGCGACTGCAGAGCTATAGATAGAAGAGCACCCAGGATTTCTCGTAATTCTCTGACACTTGTCTGGCCTGTGATCTAAAACCCTCTGACGTCAATTGAGGTTCCCATTGCAGCTCTCCATCCAAACACCAAATCAGGAGTACATCAGCAAAGAGAATATTCTTACCTAGATTATGAAGTTTCATCTTGTTAAGACATTTCCCCCCTTCATTTACTGCCTTCAGGAGGGCTGTTTATGCATGAGTTTGAATATCTGACTAGCCCACCTGACTTTAAAAGGAATATTCTCTGTGTGTGTGAAGCTACAGACACATGCTTTTGTCTTTGCAAAGATGTTTTCCCCTTTGTTTTTCAACAAGAAAAAAAAAGCAATTATAACTTTATTTTTTTGTAAGCCTCTCAGTATAGGCACAGGCAAGAGTCAATGCTGGTGTTTGCTGGATTTATCTCACAAGTGGTTAAAACCTGAGCTTTGTCTTGTGCTTCTCTGTTGCTTGAACTGTTTTCAATCCTGTCTCAGAGCCTTGGATCATACATCTCCAGAAAGTCACTGAATGAGCTCCAAGAGCTGTAGATGCTTCTGGAAGAGGGAATAGTTAAGAAAGTCACTAGAGACAATGCCTGCGGCTCAAAAAATAATTTAACAAATATTTTTTAGTATGCAAGAAGCAGGAGTGACCACACAACAACAATCCTTGTGAGGAGCAGAGACCCAGTACAAAATCAAGCATTAATCCCATACAGTTTATTGGTCTCCCTGTGCTATTTCCAACTAAATACAACATGCAGATTTCTCCTCCCCCCAGCCAATTGTCTAGTCATTTATTATTTTCTTACTGCTCTGCCCAGGCAGCATCAGCAAATGTTCCAAGTGCTGGTGTCTTTCCATAGAGTTAATCAGTGTAATTGGGATGGTTTATAGTTCTGGACAGAGTGTTTTGCCATATGGCATAGGAGCCATGGGCTGCAGGAACGTGGCAGCAGAGCACAGAGACACCAGAATGCTGCAGTCTGAAGAGATTTTTCTCACTCCAGTAAAGTTGTTACAGCTTTCCCTGCATGGAAATGATCACAGAGGGTTAATTCCCTGAGGTTCATGAAAAAGCACCTCCCAGCTCCTCATATACAGCCACAGGGACCAGTGACAACATGGGCTGTGCAGGACCTTTGAGAGTGTTTTGGGATCCTTTGGGTTAAAACTTTAACTGATTACATCCTTTGGCTGCTGCAATGCAGTTACTTCTGGTGCAAGAGCTAGAACTGGTTTAAAGAGCTCACAGCAACAGAGCACAGCTATCCAGGACACAAACATTTAACAATCCTACTTTTTCTTTCCTGTCCCCATCCTCCTGCCACTAATGGAGACAAATAATAGCTCATTGCCTATTTCTTTTTCAGAGTGAAATCTGTCCACAGGTTCTCAATTTCCGTATTTCTCCAGTCTCACTGGAGAAATCTACTTTCTTTTCCTGTTCCTATGTTCAGGCCTGCTCCCTGCCTCTCCTGCATAAACACTCAGCTGAATTAAGAAAACAACCATGTTCAAATTCCCTTCCCACTTGTGAGAATTAACTTCAAAATTCACCCCTGAGTACATCCCACACCCAGGGGCTGTAACACGCTGGCAACTGAGCACGACCAAGGGATTGAGATCACTACTGTGCAACCAGCACATCTGTAACACACACAGCTCCTTCTACTCAGCACCAGCACAGGCAAAAAATTTGGTATTGGGGCTCTCTTCTCCCACACACCTCCACTATTCCATCTCCTTTCCACCTCTAATGCTGCAGGCCAGAGATTCAGACAAGGTGATGGAGAAAAAACACACAGGCAATGAGTTTCCTCCTATTTAATTGAATTGCATATCAATATTGATTGTGCTATTAATTTTGATAGTAAATCTAATCATTAAAATAAAAAGTCTGCTTGCAGTCTCTGCCAAGCCTTCCCAGCAAAGGTCTGGCAGCATTCCCCTCTAGATAACATGTTGGTGTGCAGTCAGAAACAAATGTCTGGGTGCAGAGTTTAGGGCTGCCCCTTTTTCTTTTCGGCAGGACAATGTGTCTTTCCTGCTGCAGAGGAGAAGAGGGAAACAGGCAGCCCCAGCATCATCTGAATCCAGGCTGGGCTCTGCTGAGCTCCAGGATCTGCTCTGTGCCCAGGGAGAGGAATCAGGAAGAGGAAGAAGAGAGTTACCCTGGGCTGCACTTGTTAATCATGAGCAGCACAATGCCTTTCTGTGCCCAGCTAGCTGATGCTCTCCTTGCAACTGCCCCTCTCAGAGCCTGCTGGAGTCAATAAAATGAAGCTGATGAATTCTGCCACATCCCTAAGCCCCAGCACTGCTCTAGCCTGGCTCTGAAAGCAATGGGGGAAGTAGTTATTCTGCACACCTCAGCCTGCCTCAGACCTGATGGATATTCCCCTCCCCTGGGATATTTACTTAAAGAACATGCAACATTTGAAGGACGAATGTGTGAGGAAGCTGAACGCTATTCCCAGCACATCCCTGCCAAGGTTTCTGGCTTGCTGTGTTTCATAAATAAAATTTAAAAACCCCAAACAAACCACTTGAGAAACCTTTACTGAGCAGCACAGAAGCAGGGTAGGGGGTGAGGTATCTTCTATCTCCCCAGCCTGCAGAGATCCCACTTCTCTGGAGCCACTGATGTGGCACCACTTTACCTTCACAGGGACCTGAGCCTTCCACACTTTGCAGAGAGATATTTCCTCTGCAAACACTTGTTTTGCAATAGTTTGTTTCTACTGCCAGACATAATTTTTTTACACTCAGAATTAATGATTAACAATTAAATTATTTGACAAGGGAATAGAGGCCCTGTGCTAATTAAATTCCTTCATAATTTCTCTTTGAAAAAAAAAAAAAAAAAAAAAAAGAAAAATATATTTCTTGGTATCAGCATTCAGCCAGAACACAGCATTTTGTGATGCTGGACTTAATTAGATGGACAACCATGGCCATAGCCAAAAAAAAAAGGAACTATGAAAATATTGCTCAAAGATCATGCAAATGGGAGGAGGAAGAGAAGGGAACAGCCAACTGGGGAGCCAGGAATCAAGTGAACAGGCACATCCAGACTGCAGAAGAGCCACTTTCTAAGCCAAATAATTGTTTATAAGAATATTTCATCTGTTTAGCTGAAACAAAATGATACAGACAGAGTAAACAGTGCCTGTATAGGCTGAGAAAAACCAGCAATAGGTGTCCTGCAAAGCTTGACTGTTCTGTTTTAAGAGATGCAATCCTGGGCTGCTGGGCTGCTCATCTCCACCACTTTCAGATCCTGCTCGTGGGCTGGACCTCCCGGGGGCTTGCTGGTGTCTGCTTACACGCCAGCATTAATATCACAAAAGATTATGCTAGTTCATCGACCCTTTGAAGAGATCCTTCCCATTGTAGCTGCTGTGATGATTGCCTGATGGCACTTTCTCAGCCAGATCCACTAGGGATTACAGCAGCATAAATAAGATAAGCCTCTGTCAGACTGCTATTAAAATGCGCCCAGACGCTCGGCTCAGACGACTCTTACACCAATGCAAACTCCATCCTCAGTGGGTTTGTTACAGCCTTTGCCTCCCTTTGTTTATTCACAGAATAAATCTTCTCTCCAAGCAACACAACCCATACTAAATTTCCAATTCTCTTCCATTGCCAATAATTTTCAATCACTTGGCAATTTCCCTCTCCTCGTCTCTGCTGAGCCAGGAGACGAACAGTCCTCTGGGACTTTCAAGGGTGTTCTGGAAGGACTGAGGGATGGAGAAAATCCCAGAAAGCTCCCAAGGCAGCACATAAAGCACTAGTCCAGACAGACCTGGAATACAGAGGAAGCTGGCAGATTTTTTGGGTGCTGTCTGGGCTAAACTGCCATTGCAAAGCTCAGTTGTCACAACCAGAGTGAAGATTTTGGGGCTCTGTTAGATAGAATCCATCCACCTAAAGCACTGGAGTGCATCAGCCTCTCTGTAGCTCCCAGTGGTGTTTTCTGCCATTATTTCTAAGATAGAGAGTAGACTCAGCTGACTGCTTCTAGAAAGGATTTGCTGCTCCCTGTGCACTGCTTTCTTGCCTTTTCTTGTTAAGTCCAGGGGGAGTCTAGTTTTAGGAAATCATCTAGTAACCAAACTGGAGCTGGAGGGAACTCAGAACTCACCATTCCCAGGTCAAAACCACACAGCAGCCAAACAGATTTTCAAACATGCATCAAAACACTGAAGCCTTGTGTGACAGTTTCAGCACATCCCCAAAGAGGCTCCCAGGGACTGGTCACAGGGATGGGGTATGAAGCACAGTGGGGCTGTGAGAGGGTGGTCCTCTCACAGAGGTTTCTGAGCTTCAGTTATCCAAATATTTATTTTCATGCAGGAAGCGAGCCCATGAATTTAATGTATTTGCAACTTTGATGCAGAAAGGCACCCAAGAAACACAGACTCACTCAATGGAAGTGGGGTGAACATAACAAGTAGAGGCTTTTACACTGAATTTACAGGAAAGATGAGCACCGATTTCTGTGCTTTTCCACCTCATTTTTTAAAACAAATGCCAGGGGAATTGCAGTTTCTAATTATCTTTTTCCACTTAAAGATTATTAGATGCTTATTAGGTTTGTATTGCCTTTCCCCTCCCACACACATTTTCCATTTCCATATACTTCATCCAGTCTACAGTTAATGAGAAGAAATCAGTGTATTGCACTGTCTGGCATCTTGCTGAAGTGGCAGAAGTCTTTGGTTACCAAGTCATTTGCTGCTTAATTGAAATCTTTTCTCTGGACTCATTGCCATGCAGATGCTCCATTGGAATGCAGTAGTCAAGCCCAGTATTGATTGTCCTCCCACTCCCAGCTTTCTTCTGCGTTTGCAAATCAATTGCACCCTGTTGCTTTCCTTCTAAAAACAAATTAAATTTAAAAACATCACCCATTCCACAACCCCATTTACCCCTCAAACACATTGCTTCTGCCCTGTCTTTTCTTGGGGCAGAGATGGGGACAAGACAAGAAAGGGGACACGGTTGTAGCAAGAGCAAGATCCACACCTTGTCAGGTCACCGCCGAGAAAGAAGTGCACCAGCCTGTTCAGAGAGGGTCCAGTGTGGGAGTGGATTGGGAGTACACAAAGGAGTGAATAAAATCCTGGGTTTAGGCTCTCACTGGAAGTGATCTGGAATTAATTTCACCTCTTCACTGCAAATTAAACTATTTTTAACAGTTAAAATTCCAGCAATCAGAGAACTCTGTTGCAACTTGCAAAAGGAGCCAGACTGCAGTTGTGAGTTTGCAGGATTGAAAACCAAGGCTTGGCAAGCCACTGCTGCTGACACCAGAAAAGAAAGTCGATGCCACGCAGGTTACCAGATTTCTGATTTTGAAATTATGCACCCAAGCACTGTTGAATTCCATCTGATTTTTTAAAATTCTGAGGAATCAAATGGTTCAACATGCTCTTAATTAAGGCTTTGTCAAGAAAACATGTGTCTTTGGTGTTTCAGCTCAAACTTGCATTGGAAGATCTCATCTTTGGGGGCGGGATGACTTTAATACCATGCATAGTTACAGTCCCAAATTCTTCCCAAAAGATCTTGTATCAGTACTTAACACTACTCCTGCAGGTTCGACTACTGCAAAACGTCCCAAGGTGAGGCCCTCAATGCTGTTAGAGGATTCTGGTGTAACTTGTGAGGACACAAATGTGTAGCCAAAAACTTGTTCCTGTTGTAAACACCCTTAGACCTCCCAGCTGCTCTGTCAGGGGCTCCTCACCGATCCCACACAGCCTTTGTACTTAAAAAAATTCAGGAATTTTGCAGAGTATGAAGCAGTGGCCTCACTTCCTCTTGAGCCGCTTCCTTTGGTTCGTTGTACATTTGCATTGCAATGCTGCCTGCAGGCTTTGCCCAGCACCAGGCACCTGAACCCACAGGCTCACCCTAAGCACACTGCATAGGTAATTTGGGGGATTTTTTGGATAATCTAGGCAATTTTACTCAACACTTGCAGCCTGAGAACAGACTGGTGTTCAAATAGAAACCATACAGCCAGAGGGAGGCTATTGAATAGTGTCTGTTCCTGCCTAGGAAGTCAAACCTTCCCTCAAAGCTGAGAATGAGCACCTAATACCAAAGTAGGTGGCAGATGGCAACAACAGACTTCCTAAGCCCAAATCATCACCCTGCAGATCTTGCAGAGTCCCACCTAGTCAGAAGGTACACTGCCAGCCACAGGTTTTTGTCTTCTACTGATAAATTCGTGATTTCACTCTTTCTGCCCCAGAGCCCATACAGGTGCCAGAAAGACTCCATTTCCTTTCATCTTCAACCCAACACGAGTAAAATTTCAGGATCACACTCCAGACACTCCAACTCTGTGTTGAACTCAGACCCTGCATTGCAGGTACCAATAGCAAAGGCTGGACTGATCAGCAAAACCACCCCTCTCCCCTACAGCCCCAAAGGCTCTGCACGAGCTCTACCATCACATGATGCTCATTTAAACCTCAGTCTCCAGATTTCTCTGATCCTACCTGCCTTTTGGAAAATCATACTGTCAGAGTACTGAATATGCTCCTTGCTATTTGCCTTTAATTAAGCATTAATTGCTGCCCCAAGCTAATCTCAGAGTGTATTTTACCTGTGGAGCTCAGCGCCAGAGTTCACATTTGTAATTTAGTGGCACACCAAGGAGCTATACCTAAACTCACAGAAGGATTTTCACTGTTCATCATCTCTCTTCTGCTTTGGTGGCAGCTGGGATTCTGTATTTGGAGATGTTTGGGCTGGGCAAACAAATTAGCTGAGACCAGCCTCATTAGGAATTCACATGGGTACCCATCCTGTCTCAGCAGGAATAAGATGCTGACTTCTCTGTTTCTGGACCCCAAGCCCTCCCCAGCATGGGATACACACTGAAACCTCCTCTTTATTTCTACTTGCACAGCCTGGCAGCCTCCAAGGAAGCTGAAGCAGCAGCTCGATCTGCCCCCAAACCTATGTCTCCTTCTGATTTCTTGGATAAGTTGATGGGGAGAACTTCAGGATACGATGCCAGGATCAGACCAAATTTTAAAGGTATGCAAAAAAACCCAGCTTTTTTCCATTTTGGCACTGAAAACTGCATGCAATCCTCATTAATATCTTCCTAATGCTATATGAAATATGAATATTTATGTTCTGATGAAGTATTATAACAATATTTGGCACATGGATCCCTGTAGATGTCTGGAAAGACGTCAACAAAGGTCTGCTCAGAGTGGAAACAACCGTGTAAGAACTTCACATACTGCAAACATAGAGCCCCCAATCCCTGCTTCAATATAGGGATCGAGGATCCTGTCAAACCAAGCAGCAGCTGGCAGGGAGCTGAACACCTTTAGAGGTTAAGATAAAATCCCCAACTTTCCTTTCCCCTGCTGCCCACAGTGCTAATGGCAGGCAATGTTCCACCCCTTGCAGCCACTGCAGCCAAGAGCAGCCTCTCCCATCAGCTCCAAAGAAATTCCACAAGATACCAGGGGCAGCCCAAACCCATCCCTGTCCCCCAGAGTAAAGGGGTTCTTAAGCCCAACACTGCTCTGTTTTTCTCACCCAGTTTTCCAGTCTACCCCATATTCCATGGCAGCCAAGCAGAATTGAATCAGGCCCTGGCAGAGGCGATGAAACCTCTTTTCTCCTCAAAACACCTCTTCTAGCAAGTGAAGTGTGGGGTTTTGCAATGGGGTTTTTGGATGGCTTTTTCAACCTGGTCTAATGGAAGATGTCTCTGCACATGGCAGAGAGGATGGAACTAGAGGTTCTTTAAGAACCCTTCCAATTCAAATTATTCTATGATTATTTTGTTTTCCTTTCATTATAACTGAGCTCACTTTCCCAGGGCTCTTTGGCCCCAAATCACATCCAGAGATAAAGCAGGACCTGCCCCTCTCAGCACTGCCCAGCCATCTCCAAAGCTCATTTTGTTCACTTCTTTTGTTTCTTGCAAGCAGTTCCCTCTCCCCTGGAGCCATTGGCAGCGCTGACAGGAGTTGCAGAACTCATTAATCACTGGTGACAGCACCTGGCACCCAGCTTCAAACAATAAACTCTTTTAAACCCAAAGAAAGGTGGGAATCCTGCATCCCAGTAACCAACCAGGCAACAGAGGACACTGCTGTTGGAGTGTCACAAGGAGTTAAAATACCATCCTGTAAACCTGCCTACCTCTAAATTATGCACACACACAAATTAAACTTTAATATTTAATGAAATGTATACATTCACTTCCTGCTGAAGGCAGCTATATTGCATTTTTATTTGAGATAATTTAATTTCAGTTTTACTTCAATGAACTACACCTTCCCCTCAGGGCAGTTTTGCTGGCTTAGCCTCCCACACATAAATCAGGCTCCAATTTATATGGGAGGCATAGGAGGTGTTTTACAGAGCTTGGGGTTGTAGCTCTCAAAGCACATCATTTAAATTAACTGCAGTAACTCATAAGGACATTTTAATTGCTTAGATCTAAATGAAAATAATACCAAAGATCCATATCAGATTGATTTTTGGGGAGGGGAAGATTAACAAAAAGAAGATTGCAGCTTTTCTGTAAATGCTGTAAAGTCTGGGCTTAGCTGTGGATTCACATTCTGAGAACAAAGAAGCAGTTTTTGGGTTTTAAGCTGGAGGATGAAGTCAGGAACTCGAGCAGGGACAGAGAGGAACCTGGCAGGCGTTGGGCAGGGGACCTCTCACCCAGGCTGTGCCTTTATTTCTGCTGCTGGAAAACTCCATTCCCTCACAGCTGCATCCCAGCATAGAGGAGGAATATTTCAGTGTGCAGACAGGGAAATTTCTAGTGCCTCTCACATGCTAAAAAACACCAAAAACCACCAAATCCTGCAGGGAGCTCATGGCTCACCTTAGACACACTGAGAAGAGCTCAGTGCCTCAACAAGAGCTGGGCTGCCCCAAGGAGCCTTCACATGCACAGGGCCAAACCCACACACACTCAGCTTCGTGTCAGCACTGGAGCAGGAACAGGGGCACCAAAATATTCCATACCTGTCACAGTCATGAGCATGTGCAGTCATCCAGGAGATCAGCTCAGGGTTTTCCTTATACTGTGCCCTTTTGGAGGGGAATCACATGTTCAAGGACCTTTCATGTGTTTCGTGAATGGATCCAGAACAGAAAAACAATGTCCCTGAGCTCAACAGAAGGGATGAAACAAGTACTAAAGCCTGATAACTGCATGCTTTCAGCCTATGGATAAACTCTTGGATAAGAGGGGTTGGTGAAGGCAGGGGTGGGGAGAAAAAGATATAATCTTTGTGTCTGATAGCTCAACCCATGCCAATGTTTAACAGTGTGGAGAAAGCTGCACAGACTGAGCAGTGTGAGATGCTGCTGAGCTGGCAGTGGCTGTCTGGGGGCTGGTTAGACAGCAGCCTGCTCAGATTGCCTGGGACTCACACCAAGAAAACCCCAGCAGAGAGCATCACTGCAGGGCACAGGCAGAAACTTTCAGAGGAGGCCAAAGCAGGAGAGGAGGAAAGGGAAACGAAGAGGAAAAAAACAAGCTCCAAATGTTCTTCAGTAATCAGGAAAATCCATTACTTTCCACACAGGAGGAAGTTTGCACTGATTAGAGGCACAAGGCTCTCGTTAAAGCCATTCCTCCCCCCAGTATTTCATGCTGCAGCAACAGCCAGACTGCAGATGTGACCTTAACAGAAACATCACTTCCCCAGCAGTCTGAGCCACCAGGCAGTGTTTGAAATGCAGACACCATCCCTAACTCCATAAAAAATGAGAGAATAATCTGAAAATCCACACTCTCTACTTCCACAGATCTTATCTTCCCAGAAGCATCTGTCACAGGGATGATATGAGATTAACTCTGGTGTAAAAGGGGACCGTGGTCCCTGGGGCAGTGTCTCTGCTCTCTGCCTGGGCTGCCTTTCCCCACCACATCCTGAGCAGTGCCCACAGCAGCTCGAGCAGGCCCCACAGCAGAGGCCCCTTTTGCTTCAAATCTCTACAAAAAATCCTCTCATTATATGTGGGCAAGCCACAGGTTGGCCAGGCACCAGGTATGCCCTGGTTCCAAAATATTCCCCAGATTTTTGCTTTGTGCTGAACTGCAGCTCTTGGCATCTCCCTCTGTGTAAATGCAGCATTTCCACCTCAGATTTTCCAGGCAATGTTGTGCAACACTTCCAGTCACTCCTTTGGGCATCAGTACCACACAAACAGACTGACCCCCATGCCCCCAAACCACAATCTTTTCATCCCTTAACCCTCACTCCTTTCCTTTGGTGACCCCTTAACCTCTCCAGTATGAGCAGGGTAAGCAAAGCTTTAGTCTGAAAGCAAATCAAGCCCAGGAGAGGCATGGCCCAGAGACCAGGATTACCTTTTGCCCAAACAGGACAGCCAGAGAATTCCTGCTGGCAGAGCCCTGAATTCTCCTACCCAGCTGTGAGCCCTAACAGACTGGATCAGGATCATCACCTGGGTTTGGGGTTTACAGGCAATCCTGCTTGGAAACACCAACAGCAACACAAGAAACACAGGTACTGAAACATCTAAAAAGGAGATCTCAGGACACTGGAAAGGTCTTTAGGATTTGTAGCCTGAGATTTACTCTGCTGAGCAGCCCTGCTGTTTGAGGATGCAGAGGGTCAAGCAGGCACTGTCTGCTCCCCACCATCACCATCATGTGGGGTATTTGCTGCTTTAGCCAGCCTGATCCCTACAGCTCACCCTGCTGCACTGGTTTTGATGGGAGCACATCATCCTAGTTCAGGAACAGTGAGTATTTCACAAATGTAGCTCTAAATAAAAGTCAATTGTCTCTCAGCTCCTTTCTGGGATACTTTGCTATCATGTTCCAGGTGAGATTGCCACACATATAGCCAGGTCAAGATACCTAGAAACTGTCCTGGCTGGCTCTGCCCTATTCCCTGTTCATCTGAACAGTTCCCAGCAGAGGTGGATAAACACTCTGCCAAACAGGGGAGCAGAGGCAGAGCACAAGCACTGTCTGGTGTCAAACTGGCATCAGAACCAACACTAGACCTGCCAGGTCACCCAGGCCTTCCTCCCCTCCTCACCCCTCCTCAGCCCATTCCCACAGCAGGTTTTAACTCCACCGAGTGGAAATCCTTTGTTTCATGAACACACAGTGAACTGTTGTTTCAATCTGTGTTTGTCATGCAGGCCCACCAGTGAACGTCAGCTGCAACATTTTCATCAACAGCTTTGGCTCGATTGCAGAAACAACTATGGTAAGTAAAAATCACAGCACAGCTGCTCAGCTACGGGCTCAGCCTCACTGCACTCCCAAAAAACGCAGCATCACCCTCCTCCTCAGAGTGAGCAGGGAAAAACACTCGGTGCTCCCAAGCTTACTCTGAGTAAATTAATGGTCAACACACAAGACTCGTTTCATGTAGCTGGAGATCACAGAGTCTCCATCTGCATCTTATAAAAACACTCCATGGGCAAAGGACAAGGGTCAGAAAGGAAAACAAATAATCTTTTTCTGAAGATTTGCCTGAGGCTCCAAACTCAGCGACAGTTACCAATACTTTGTGTTTAAGTGGGCATAAATCCAAAATTAGTCTGGATTCAAAGAGAAGGGAAATCAGCTGAACTCAAATTCAGCTTGCACCAGGATTTCAGATTCCCAAAGATTAAGATAATTATGAGATTAAAGATCAGGATGATTGTTTTCTTGGAGACATGTTTCTGGTAGACAATGATTTTTAGTAGAAAATCAAAAACAGTATTTCTGAGTTAAGGCTCACTTCATACAAAATTAGTGAGCATGGCTAAAGGCTGTATCTAATTGGCAAGGCACTAGGAGCAAAGGATCACTAGAACAGGAGATAATTGCTCCATCTGAAAACTATTAAAGATTGGTTGTGACATAACCAGTGAACAGCAAAGGAAAACTCTGGAGGTACTGTGCCTTACTGCTGTGCTAATTAAAAATAATCCAGAAATATGGTGTTTAATTACCCTCTGGTAATTCTTTTTCTAGAAAAATGCTGAATGAAGAATGCAAGGCTCCAGCTCCAGGCGTTTTGTGCATTCAGGCAGGAAGTTTGAGGCTTTGCATATAGATCACACCCCTTGACTTGAACAAATTACTTGGCATGCACACCACTGTCAGAGGAGAGCCACAGCCATACAGCTCAGGTTATAAGTCTCTCCTGACACTACATCATTCTGCTGGAAATATTTGGGTAGGCACCGTTCAGTTCTGGTAGTAGAGGAGAAAACAAAAGCTGTTATTCTGTCCAAGCACAAGGAAACAGATTTCCTATCTGGTCTGCAGAATCTGTCAGAGCTCACAGGTGAGGAGTGTAGCGTGGATTCATTTTATATAAATCAAAAGAGGAAGAACTGCCACTCAAACACACATCTGTTCCTAATTTACTGTTTAGTGGTTCCCTCCTTTGGAGTTACAGGCGATAAATGCTGCTCCTACACACCAATCCAGAGTGCAGGGGAGCAGGACAAGCCCACAAAGGCTCTGTGCAATGTACAGAGCACATTCCACTGGCGTGCTTTTCAGTGCATCTGTCCCACACTGCAAGAGGCACTGGAGCAGCCAAAGATGCCACATGATCCCTGTAAAGCAGGATGCTCCACAAAATTAGCACTGACTAGCACAAGAGAGATGAAGCTCACCTCCCAGACATGCTGCAGGGACTTGCTATCATCTCCAGATGCCACTCATTTCATAGGCAATCTTCCACGGAAAAAAAATCTTCCCATGGGAACCCAGGAACACCCTGTGGGCACATTGCTTTGTCTGGAAATATCCGAGGCAGCTCTGACAAGCCAGCCCAGATGCCAGGCTGACACAGCATCACACACAGCCCGATCTAATGCTCTTGGGTGGGAGCAGCAGTTCTGCTTGTAAACACCAACAGCAACACAAGAAACATAGGTACTGAAACAGCTTAAAAGGAGATCTCAGCAAGCTGGAGAGGTCCTGGGGATTTGTTACCTGGGATTTTTTACTCTGCAGAGCAGCCAGTCCCTCCTTGTTTGAGGATGCAGCAGGACAAACAGGCAGTGTCACCTCCCCAACACAGCTCCTGGGGAGAGCAGACTGTCCTGTCTTGAAGGGCTTTTGGGACGGACCTGAGTGTTTTGAATTCAAACACGTGGAACAAGTGGTCAAACATCAGAGGAAGGTATGGCAGCTTGAAAAATGGAGAGGGGCAAATCAGTTTTACCATAAAGAAAGCCATAGCCTATCACTGACCCCTGGGAATGATGATGGCAAAACTCCCCCAGCTGCTTCACTGGCCAAAAAGAGAAAGAAAATTATGTTTTAAACCCCCTTCATTAGGCACTCTAAGCCTGGTCAGGTTCAGGTCTGAGTACTACATTACCTTATATTTCATTATTATTACACTATTATCTGCAGGAGAAGTCACAGGGTTTTATGGGTACCCCACATGCAGTTAGAGAAGGCTTTAAAATATCTCCATAGTGGGCTGATACTTCCTAGAGAAAATACCACTGCTCACTTCTAAGTTCACACTGCCTGAGTATCACAAATCAGTGTAAACCATGAGCTCACCATAGAGGACTGGAGAAATTAGAGGGAGAGTGTTCACTTATGGCTTGAGGCCTCATGAAAGGCAGAGGAAGAGGAGAAAATACAGAAAAATAGAAAAAAACGCAAGCATTTGATGCAGACAGCTGGATCTACAAATCTCAGAAGGAAAGAAAATGAGTTGCAGCCAAGAGAAGGCACAAACTCCTCAGAGTGGGCAGAGAGATGCTATCTGCCCCACAAAGGTTCAAAATGAGCAAGGCAAGAAATGGAGATCTGAACACTGCTGCAAGGTTGGGGGAATTTAAAAAAAATTAAAAGGCAAAGTCATCCACCAAACTGAATTCCTAAGGCAGAGCTGATTTAAAGAAAGGGAAGGAACTTCTTAAAGCATCCTGCAGAGCAGGAGACCCAACATGAAAACCTCTAGTGGTGCACATAATTGATTGGACATTTATTGCAGCTCAAAGCTTGTATCCAGCCTCACTTGCCTGGAGCTCTAAGGACTGGGAGCACATCCCTGTGAACCCAGCCAGTGCTCCAAAGGGAAGGAGAGGACCAGCCCCAACAGCCAGATGAGTGCAGGCAGGCTCCTCCTGTCCCAAAGCATCTGTGCAATAGCGCATCCAACAGCAAGGGATTCCCAAGGACAAGTGCAAGATGCAGCTACTCTCTTCCAATTATTTTTATAACAAACACCAAACAACCCCCAAACACAAGCTCTTAAATCCCTTTTTGCTGTTCAAAAGCACAAACAACTCCCCAGCCATACCAGATTATGAAACCTATAGCAAATGTAGAAATTCCTCATTCCAAATAAAGAGAAGTGAAGCACCTTGGGAACAGGTCTTGGGTTTTAGATGAATAAACTGCACCAGCTTTGGCTTTTCTTTGGGGCATGAGGCAACTGATAGGATTATCTGAGCATTTCATTAACAAATTCCCTGCTATAACAGCAAACTTGAAATTAATGATGCCTTGCTCAGTCTTCCAGTGGAAGCTGCAGTTTTATGGCCTTCCACTGGCTTAGGCTGCTGGGAGCATTTTGTACACAGAAGAAGCAGGGGGAGAAGAAGGAATATATTTTTATATCATCACCTAGCAATGCTAGCAGCTGGACTCAGGATGATTCTAGACTCTTCTTTTAAAAAGGATCCATGCACAGCAAAGAAGAGTCTGAAAAAGAAAGAAAAATCACAGAAGAGCCAGCACAACCTCCCTTAGACACAGTGTAAATATGCAAATTCAATTTTGCTGCTTTCATGCCATCATTATCTCATCTGAAAAGAGCAAAGCAAATGTGACCTTCCAGGCAGCTGCAGCACAACCACAACTGGCTCCCAGCATCTCCTGAGGACAGGAGAAGCTGGAGGCTGCAACTGTCCAAATGTTAAATGCTTGTTCAGAGACATCTGCACATGAGATTTCCAACAAGAAAAAACAAAGCATCCTGCAAAGCAGACCGAGAAATTCAGTCAACAAACCCCAGTACAGCAGAGACTCTGATGAACTTCATACATTTAATACTGGTCCCACTTACTCCAAAAATCAGCAAAAGATATAAGTTTCAATGCACAAAGCCCATAGCAAAAGTTAGGTTTCGAGCAAGATTTCCTGCAGTCAGTCATTCTTAAACCCAACCATCAGTCCCACAGAGATGATAAGCACCTAACAAGTCACACAACACAAAATGAAAAGGTTTTCACGACAGCTCACAGTCTGCTGCCTTCTCAGTGTTAGACCTGCAGTGTTCCAGCTGTCTGTGATTGGAGTTTGTCTTCACACTAATGGAGAAGGGAGGTGGAAAAGCAGAAACAACAAAAAGAAGCCATGAAATAGGACTGTGCAACTCAAATACAAGGACACAAAACCTCCTCAAGCTGAAAAACAAGACCTCACTACTAAACACTTATATTTGCAATTCTGGATGCTGGCTACAGCTCACATCCCAGCAGCTCTACTGGCTCAGAAAGATATATATTCTCCACTTTTTATAGGAAGACACAGAAAAACTTTCTGCTTTGGGCTCCAGCATAAAAATCCCCACACTTATTAAGCACCAGGGTACTGCTCCCATCCCTCACCAAGTCCCTGCCCTTCTCTGATACAGATTCCTCCTCCCCTCACCCAGGTATGGTTTCATACAGGCTTCAAATTGGCCATTGGCTATTAACCCTTCCTCGGGCTGCTCCTGGTGTGCTTGGTTTTTTTGCAGTCTGTTGTAGTGCTCCTGGCAAGGCAGGCTGCCTTCAAAATGTTTGTTTATTCCCATTCTAGAGAATTAACTCAATGCTAATAAAGCCCATAACTCAATGCTAATAAAGCCCCTCATGCTCTGCTGCCCAGGTGGGGTCCCAGAATTCCCTTCTGAAGGAGATCAGTCTCTACCCTGTTTTTTCCATCAGCAAAATGTAAATTTATCAAAGGGGAAATGTCTCCCCAAAACTGTTCAGTGCAGAGGCTGCTCTGACATGACCCCTGAGTCAGGAGGGAAAATCTATTGAGTGTCCTGAGAGGCTCCATCCCTTCTGCTCAGCACTGCCTCCAGCCTCCTCTGCTCTCAGCAGATGTCAAGGCTATGGGATCCTGGAAAGGAAAGGTCTCAAATGATCTTCTGTTTCCTTGTCTCCTTGCGAGGTCACTGAGCAGAATTTCATTTCAGCATTATCAAATTGAACTACTTTGATCACTCCAGTTATTCTCTTCCTGCCTTGTGTCATTTCCCTCTTGGGAGCAAAATGCCTTTGTGCCACATTTCAAAGCTCCTGAATGCCTTCACTGCACAGAGCTGCTGCTCCCCTCTCCCAAGCCAGCCAGAGGAGCAGGCTGCACAAGATAATCAATGCCTGGATGTGATAGGCAAACAAATGAGGAATGTGAGGGATAAGAAGGATATGGAGAAAGAGAATATTTTTTTCCCAAGTTTTCAGCCCCAGTCAATTTCTTTTTTCTCTGCTTGAAAGTTCACATCAGAAATTGGCCAATGCTGTCCATCATTTAGGAATAACTGTGAACTTCTTGAGGATGCTAACAAAGATCTATAACAGCATCCAGGAGAAATGCTGCATATCTCCAGGTAGCCAAGGAATGAGTGTTGCTTGGCTCATCACCTCTCAGCCTGACTGCAATGCTGAGGACAAAGCTTCCAGCACAGAGGATCTTCAGCTGGTACAGAACACTGTAACCCTTCTCTTAGCCTGTGTCACAGCACAGACAAACCCTGACTGCTCTCCATGCCTTCTGCTGCCCCCTCAGGCAGTGTCATGTCCAGTTTGCAGTCACGGTGCTTGGTTTCACATTTATGCTCAAATAAGGCTGGACACAAGAAACCTAAAAGGCTGATCAGAACCTTCAACACTGCAGTGCAATGACATAAAGGCAAAGGCATCTGGGAGAAAACCACATTCTCAGTGAGCAGGCCAGGACTGTGGAGTAAACTCTCTGAGTAGGAAGATCTTCATAAATGCACACGCAGAAGTAAAATATTAATGTCTTGAAATGCCAAAGCCAGAATATTACATTCAGTGCATGTACCATATTTCTCTGTCTTTCCTTTTTTATATCACAACATAAACGCTTCGTTTTCTGTATTCCCAAACAAAAAACATCCACAGCAAACATTTGTCTCCAAAGGAGGAACACACAATAACACAAGCCAGAGTTACTCCCCACACTGCTGCACATCCCTGGGGTGGAGGTGGTGCAGATTCTCACACCACACATCCACAATGAGCCCCTGGACTGTTCTCAGGACATGAGGACAGGGCACTGTGACCCTAGAGGTGAGTTAGGAGGGGCCTTCTCACAGCCATCCACTGTGAGAAGTTAATTTTCATTTGGCCCACAAGCATTGAATTAAGATGCTCCTCGTGATGACTATGGCTATCATTCTGCCTGTGGTCTCTCATGCCTGCTGTGGTGGCAGCATAAACCATTCACCACCTCCTGTCTCACCCCTTCCTGTCCTTTTGGCAAGTTTTGGAGCTGAAGCAGTGAATTTACTCCATCAACAAAGCTTACCAGCAGTAACTCAGGCTGTTGTAGGGAATTTGGCTCCATTCCCTCCCCCCTTCTACTACTCCATCAGGCTAAGCACACTTCTGGGCAGCTACCACTGAAGTTTCTTCCAAACATGAGTTTAATTTGTGTTCTACATGACAGAAGTCCCAAACTGGAGCTGACCTGCTAGCATCTAGCTTATTTGTAGCTGAATAAGCAAAACAACCTTTTGCTTTCTACCTATTAGGTCAGTGACATTGATTTCCTCTGACTGCAATGGCTGCAGATCTTGATGCACAGAAAAGGGAGAATTGAAAATATACACGTAGTTCTGGGAGCTGCTGTCTGCTGTGCAAAGTGGGAATTCATGGTTCCTTTCCTTTTCCAGGCTTGCATTTGCTGAGACCCTGGTCCCCAGCTGTCCCCAGCTATTCACATTTCCTCCAGACACATTATCCAGGCTCGACAGAAATGAATAATTAAGTCAGAGGGATGCACTAGGACTTGTGAAGGTGACACTTGGAATATCAACAGAAGGAAAGAGTGTTGCAACTCTTTTTTGTGTTCAGAGGTCTGCTCCTTTTAGCATCAAGTCCGTGGTTCATTTGCTGTTGTCACAATCATTAATGTCATTAGCAGCTTCTGTGCTCTGAGGATGCAGATGGCACTGAGTGGCCACAGACTCTAGAGCATGTGCTTGGATAGGAAGTGCCTTGTCCAAAACACAGAGCATCCAATAGAATCCTCTCCCAGCCCTCCATGCCACTGGACACCACGAGAGTCGTGTCCTGGACAAGAGGCTGCAGCTTCACAGACAAGTGAGCTCGTGAGGCAGCAGCATCAGAAAGTCTCTCCTCTACAGGCACCTGTTCCAGTGTGTTTTTTTTTTAATGGTATGTTCTCTTATTGCCCAAGCTAATGGTTTAGTCCAAAATTATACCGTCACACCCACCTTGTCAATCTATCCTGAACTACCTGTCAATCCTGCCTTGTGCCAGCCCTCTGCTTGGAATTCCTCTTTGGAAATCCCCTAAAACTCCACATCCCATTAGTCCATGTGACCCAGTTTCCCCCCCTACCTCTCTCATTGGACAATGCCTTTGTAAACCCTACAATTTATCCCTCCTCAGAATTTCTCCGATTTGCTAAGAATTTGTACCTTCCCCTTGAACCTCTCCCATATTTAAGTTGTTGCACCTCTGCTATTTTTGCTTTTTGCCCCACGGATTCCCCAGAGTAATAAATCCTTTTTATCCTATGTAGAAGACCTCTCCCTCCTCCTTGCCTCCTTCAAACACAATCTGACAGCCAAAAGGCCCTGGAGCCACAGCTCAAACCACATCTAAGGGCTCCTGTTCCAGAGTGTGACCCACTCTGGGCACGGGACCCGAGTGGCAAAGTGAGTGCAGCTCTGGCCACTGCATCAGGCACCCTTCAGCTCCAGAACTTTGTGTTCTGCAGGTGGAAAGAACACACCTGGTGGCAGAGTGAGGGGAGCCTCCCACTGCTGCCTGCAGCAGGTATCAGACACCAGCAAGCACGTCAGACACCCTCCATTATCTGTCTCCTAATAAAAGTCTTCAAAGTACATTTGTGTTAGAAAGGCAGCAAAGAAACCCTTAATCATGAGAACAACTATTCCTTTGGGCCTGGGCAGTGGAATTGGTTTATTATATGATGCTCTTCAGATGCAGTCTGCCTCTATACTTAGAAAATGTCAATTAATTTATGGTTCTGGAGCTTTCATCCCTCTCCTGATAGCTGGCACATCCTCTCTCCGTTTCAATTTGTTGGCTCACTTTCTTAAGTGAAAGTCAGAAGAAAAGGAGCATACAGATCACCCTGGGAAGCTGTTGGTCAGACAGGGAGAAGAGAAACTGCCTCTAATTTTTCCAGTAGTGTCTGAACTCTGCATCAGCAGCCAGCCTTGACCTGGGGAACTTAGGGGAGCTGTAAGACTCATGGTTATGAAGCAAGTAGAATTTTGCATAGTGCTGAGGGACTACCTGCAATTAAGGAAGATGATCATCCTATAAAATCTGTAGCCTTTATGGCATTTTGACATTAGAGAGGGGAAGCCAGAACGCTCAGGATTAGGAGAGCAGACCTCATGCATATCTCTCCTGCTCATAAACTCTAACCAAGGGCAGCTAATCCCATCAGCTCATCTGAGCTATCCTTATAGCAGACACGCAGGGAATTTCTCTTTCATGGTCGACCTGTGTCACTGTGACTTTTCCTTTCCCAGTGCTGGGGGGACTGCATATAATCACAATATGGGATAGTTGAGCTCTGGAAGGAAGCTGGTTTCAGTTTCTCTCCCCAAAAATCCTCTGGAACATCCTCTTGCTCACAGTGGCCATTCTGACCTGCACTACTGCTGGTCGCTTCTGCAGCCCCAGGGTGCAGACAGAGAGGTCCTGGCACTTCCCACACAGCTGACAATTGCTGTCACAGAGGGATGCAGGGACAGGCAGCTGCTCATGCTATGACATAGCTATAAGCTAAAAGCTAAAAATTAATAACAGTTCCTTGAGGAATAATACCAAGAACACTTGGCATAGCTTGGGAACCGTCAGCCTGGACACAGTCTGGCTGATGTGAGGATGGTTTTAGTGTGTGCTCCCCAGCTGCCAGCCCCTTGAGGCTGCTCTGAGCCCCGGCTGTGTGTGTGTGCAGGATTACAGGGTGAACATCTTCCTGCGGCAGCAGTGGAACGACCCCCGGCTGGCCTACAACGAGTACCCCGACGACTCCCTGGACCTGGACCCCTCCATGCTGGACTCCATCTGGAAGCCTGACTTGTTCTTTGCTAACGAGAAAGGGGCCCATTTCCATGAGATTACCACGGACAACAAGCTGCTGAGGATCTCCCGGAATGGCAATGTCCTCTACAGCATCAGGTGAGGTGACTGCACCAGGGTGGGCAGGGGCACAGCCAAACCCAGCTAAACTCCAGCCTGGACTTTGGGCATGCTGTTGGGGAAAATAAATTTAGGTGTTTTTAAGGTGTGAGATCATACAATTAGCACTGTTGAAGCAATGTGGTGGGAAGGAACGTCTGCTAAAGCATATTGAGACAGAGGGTTGTTCTGGGATGGAATTTAATTCATCTTTACCTCTTTCAGTTCAAGGACTTCTGCTCCTTGCTAGTAGATTCCATAACATCCCTAATGTAAAATTACTTCAGATATCTTATGTTAGTACAAGCCTAAAAGCAGCTGTGCTGTGTGAAAAACAGTAGAAGCTCATGAACGCTGCTTTCAAAGCTGCAGCACTTCTTAACAAAAAATTAAAAAAAAAATTAAAAAATAAAAAAAAATATTTAAAAATAAATTTAAAAAAATTTAAAAAAACAAAAGCAGGAAAAATGCTAAGTAGAGCCCCATGGCTTTGTCTCAGCCTAGTTTTTCCCAGTTATCCCATTATTGCTAGTTCCAAGAATCTATCAGCAAAATTGAACTAATTGCACTGAATTTTCCAGGCAAATCAACCTTAGCCTCCACCTTCACTTCCATTCACACTTTATTTTAAACCAATGAAATTAAGATCTAACTTCACAGGCTTAGATTGGGAAAGTTTAACTCTATATTGAAGACTTTTTCACCTCATGAATAATGTAAATTTGCCTGTGGAACACACACTCCATCTCACACTGCAGCTCCCAGTGGCAGCTAATGGAAGGAAAAGCAGTGCGGAGCTGTAAAATGGGAAATAAACAGCTTAATGCTACAAGGGAGATGGCCTCCATCAAACACCAAGGTGGTTCCAGCCCAAAGACCAGCTCCCTCATGGCCAAAACAGTAAGAGAATTGTGTGTTGGCTGAATGGGGAAACCTCACAGTTCTTAATTTTAAAAATCAGGCAGGGAGCAAAACCAACAGCAGCAATTTTGTAGTGAGCGTGGCACAGAGTCCTGTTCCAGGAGAGTCTGCAGCCCTGGGGTTGCTCTGCCAAACAGAGCAATGACTCAACAGGGAACATGGAAAAATCACCATTTGCAAGGCAAAAACTTGAAAATATTTCAGTCTTGTTTAAAAAGAACAACTTTCCTATCTCTCTTATCTCCAAATGAAAATACAGGTTTCTTTATAAGTACATTTTCCTGTGAAAAATTAAAAAGAAAGAAGATATTGCTTAAGAAGAGCACACTGTAAATGCAGTTTCCAGGAGGAGAAATAGTCTTTCCCTTAAAAAAATAAAATCTCTCTAAGGTGCTCTGCCATTTTCTAACTGGTTCTTTGCTACTACTATCTATTTGCAATAGTCAAACTCTAGGCAAGGCATTTACAAGAAGGTGGACTTTGTCACATCTTCTGTCCCAATATGCCTCTAAACTCAAGCTGAGAATTTCTAACAACATAAGATTTTAAATTAAAGTATCTTTCCCTCCTGATAAGTTTCTTGTTGGTCTGATGATAGAAAAATTCAATTTCTGTCCCCTGGGTAATTCTGCTATTTCTACATCAAGGCAAAAAGCTGAAAACCCTAAACACTTCAGGGAACAGCATTTTCAACATTATCAAACCAAATAACTCAAGTCTAACTATCTGGAGTAAATCATTTAGTATCAGCTTGTTGAATCCACCAAACATTTTAAGCATGGATCATGGTACAGAGCAGCATAGCAATATAACACAGAAAATGCAGCCTGCACCTAGTGGAAAATGGAGACAGAAATAGAGGTCTCAAGGGCTCTGCAGGAATTTGGGAAGATACAGGAGTTCATATTGGCTTAGCAAAAGACGTTTTCCCTGCAGAAAATCCCACTGAAGTCTTTCCTTCCCTCCCCCAACAAACATATGATCTTGATCAAACTTCTTTTGGTGTTTTTTTTTTTTAATGACACAGAAATGTTCTGTTCAGAGATTTACAAACAGTGCCAGTCTCTAGAAATGCATCTGGGGGTTCCAGAGAGTGGTCTTGGGCTTTCTGCTGATCCAGCCTCTGTGAACCTGAGGCAAACCAAAGCAGCAGAAGTGTTTGGTGAGGGAACCCTTTGTCAGACACAGTCTCAAACAGCATTGCAGTGAAATGCCATCTGCAGCAGGCTCTGCTGAGAGTGGTGTCACAGACCCAAATGTTCAGCATCTCTGATGCTTTCCAGAGTGAGAGCACAGGCAGGGGAGTGATGGATGATCACCCCCAGCTCAGGGTGCCTTAGGGCTCAGCCTCAGCTGTGCCCATTGTCTGGCATTCCATGTGCTCTCTTCTCTCCTCAGGATCACGCTGACCCTGGCCTGCCCCATGGACCTGAAGAACTTCCCCATGGATGTACAGACGTGCATCATGCAGTTGGAAAGCTGTGAGTCCTGTGCACGCCCCCATTTTGGAGGGGAGACCATCTCTTTTCCCTCTGCCTCCCCCCTGCCATCTCCTTTCCCAGCTGCAACCAATTCCCAGCCCAGCTTTCACAGCTTGCTCAAGAACCTCTTGCTTAGGATTTTCCATTCATTCAGCACACGTGACATTTGCTAGAGAAGCCAAACCTCCAAAGATCCCATGTGAGGAGCCCTGGCCTGCTTGTGTTTACATTGGCCTTTCACTTTGCAGAGAGAGGTGAAAGTGCTTTCAGCTGCAAGTGGGATTTTTTCTCTCTGGATGAACATCTGCCACTTGTACATGTTTGCTTATCCCAAAGGAGGGAAAGATGAGCTTCTTCCAGAGAAAGAGGTCAAGTTGGAAACAGTAGAAAACAGTTCAGCAAACCAAGTTCAAGAAAAGAATGTTATTTGTTGCAGAAAATCCGTTGCAGCTCCAGTGAAGGTTGTCACCCTGGCTCTTACCACATGAAAAAGCAGTTTTGTCTCAACCCAAATCCCATTCATGACAGCACTGTCAGGGAAGGCCAGGATGCACCCCTGCCTCCAAGCTCTTTCCTGCAACACTGTCCCTTTCCAGATCAGTATTTAATGGGATTCACATGACGTTTGTCCCTTCCTCCCAACAGTTGGCTACACAATGAATGATCTCATATTTGAGTGGCAAGAAAAAGGAGCAGTGCAAGTTGCTGACGGGCTGACATTGCCTCAGTTTATCCTCAAAGAAGAAAAAGATTTAAGATACTGCACAAAGCACTACAACACAGGTCAGTGCTGCTAACCCTTAACTGAGGGGTTCAGTAGAGAGAAATTCAGAATTGTGCATTTACCAGTCTCTTGGTCTGTCTGATGGCACTCTATCCTTGTCCTTCACTTCCAGAGGTAACAGCCATGTAGAAATAAATTTAGCAAATTAAAAGCTAAAGGACAAAAATGTGTAAAACCATCTTGTGCCTGGTAACATCTGCATCAATTCAAGGGTATTTGGTTGAGACCTTCTCTCCTACAACCTTCTTTTTTCTATGAAATTTAAGTGACAAAGGACATATTGCCAAAGGGCTTTCTTTGCTATGTTAATGTTCATAGAATCCTAGAGTGGTTTGGGTTGGAAGGGACCTTAAAGACCATATTGCTCCATCCCCCTGCCATGGGCAGGGACATGTTCCACTTTCCCAGGTTGCTCCAAGCCCTGTCCAGCCTGGCCTTGGACACTTCCAGGGATGGGACAGCCACAATTTCTCTGGGCAATCTGTGCCAGGGCCTCACCACCCTCACAGGGAGGAATTTCTTCCTAATATCTAATCTAAACCTTCTCTCTTTCAGTCTGAAGCCATTCCCCTTTGTCCTATCACTACATGCCCTGGACAGCAGCTGCTCATTTCCTCCCCTAAGCAGGTTCTGGTTTAGGCAATGCAAGGAAAATCCCCAGACTCTGGCTGAAAACAGGAGGCTGACTGTGCCTTACCAATAACCTTCCATGTCTCTCCCACCCTCCTCAGGCAAGTTCACCTGTATAGAAGCTCGTTTCCACCTGGAGAGGCAGATGGGCTATTACTTGATCCAGATGTACATCCCCAGCCTTCTCATTGTCATTCTGTCCTGGATCTCCTTCTGGATCAACATGGATGCTGCACCTGCTCGTGTGGGCCTGGGGATCACCACTGTGCTCACCATGACCACACAGAGCTCTGGCTCCCGAGCATCACTGCCCAAGGTAGGGAACACCCTTGTCTTCACCAGGGAAATCAGGCTCCTCAGTAAATCCCCACACAGATCCTCCTGCTGCCTTTGCACCATTCCAGTTTAAGGGCAAACTGAACAAATTCCAGTCCCGTCCTGAAAAAAATTTTAAATTCCCTATGACTAGCAACAAAACTTTCCCTAAGATTCAGCACTCACCACAGCTCCCAGTAACCAGGAGCTCTGTACTTTACAAACTCCTGCAACAGCCACACATGGATGTGCACTCTACATTTTAGCTTTTTAGTCACTTGACCATCCTACTTTTATAATAGTACCGAATTTCCCTTTATGAAGGGCTTCTGGTAGGGTGGATTACTGTTTTCCTTGCATATAAATAATCACAGTCAATAAATACAGCCTGGATAAATTAAAAGCTGTGGAGTTATTGCTACTTAAGAACCCGTGAGGAATTTCAGTGACCTGATAACACATTCATATTAAATGAGTGAGATTCTGGTATCCAAGAACATATGTCAGCCATGTAAAACAGCAAATAAAAATGCATTTGGGTAAGGAAGCCAGCCCATTTCTGTCTCTTTCTCTGATTCCTAGGTGTCCTACGTGAAGGCCATAGACATCTGGATGGCTGTGTGCTTGCTGTTTGTGTTCTCTGCACTTCTGGAATATGCTGCTGTCAACTTCGTGTCTCGGCAGCACAAAGAGCTGCTCAGGTTCAGGAGGAAGAGGAGGCATCATAAGGTAATACATAAAGCATGAAGGAAACAGCTGAAATCTGACTCCATGATCAACTGAACCAAGACACTAGCCCCCAGGCAAGTCCCCAGTGTCTGGTCAGATGTTAAGGAGGCTCACACACCAAAAAACAGGGCTGCTCAATGAATGGAGTCTGTTCTAATAGCCTGCTGACCCCAGGAGTCCAGCAAGCTGGGTTTTGTTAGCCAGCCAAGTGGTCTCAGCCAAAAGGGTTGCTCTCAACAGGACAGTTTTCACACAGCAGTGTTCTGGTGTGAGTTCTCCTCCCCAGAAGCTGCAGCCAGGGCTGGGGGGAGGCAGGCAGGGAGGTGTGAGTGGTGTCTGTCAGAGAGCAGCACCCCCAACACGACAGCCTGCAGCAGCCCAGAGGTAAGTGACACCTCTTTTATCTCTGCCATCTCCGTGTTCAAAAGCATCTGCTTCTCAGACTGACTGCAAATTCCTCCTGGAAGGAAAGAGCTTTATTCTGAGTTTTAGCCTGCTCCATGCTTACCTGCCATGGCTGATCCCAATCCCAATCCGAGCATGCACGCAGCTCCAACGGCTCCCCAGCCTGGCTCTAACAGCTTTTAGGCTGAGGTGCCACAGCAAAGATTTCACTCACAGAACACACTAGAAAGAACAAAAGGGTGTTTGTGATCACACGGCCAAAGGCACTTAAAAATGGTCCCTAATTAACTGGTAGAATCAGGAAAGAGCTTAGGAAATTTTCGGCACCAGGCCTGAGAGGCTGCCCTCAGGAAACTATTAAAAACCAGTACATTTGCTAGGAGAGAAAAAACAAAGAAAATTTTGCTGATGAAAATCTCAAGCAAGCCCGTAGGTGACCACCGAGGTCTGCCTTAAATATTTCTCATAGGTATTTGTGTACTTTCCATGATCCATCCCGTCCAGAAACCTACCCCCATTCCATTGTTTCACTATTCCAGCCATTAAAAGTCTTTCCCAGGGTCTAACCTGTCCTGCAGCACTTCACAGTGTGTGCTTGCAGAACTGCTGCCATTCCAGGAGGAAGTAGGGGCTGAGGAGCAGGAATACCTATATTTTTCTAGATTTCTTTCTCTCTGCTTTAGTCATCCTGTCTGCAAAACAGGAGATAATTGTTCACTTGTGCTCAACCCAGCCAGGACCAGGGATGAAAAGTATTGGACAAATGCAAGGGAAAAGAAGTAACAGATGAGACCCTCAGCACCCACTGGTTTTGTCTGACAAGAGCATGACTCTGCCATCCCAAAATCAACAAAGCTTTGGTTCAGAAGATGCAGCCTGCTGAATAGAGGCAGAGCCACACCCACTCACATGGGTGATTCTTCATCTGGATTCAGACATCCTGTCTCTGGATCTGTGCTGTATGCAGATCAGTCTGTTAATGAAACAATAAGAAGGGAAAAAAAGCCATTAATACACAGACGAATTTAAGAGATATTTGCCAGAGCTGTTCCACTGAACACGAGGCTGTTAGCACAGTCCCTGCCCAATCTCACACTTATTTAACTGGAGCAAAGCATAAACAAAAACACTTGCAAAAGCTAAATGAACAAGGTTTGCAGGCTCATCAGAAAACTGAGCTGACTGCTAATATGCAAATGGGATAATGCAGCTGCCAAAGGCACTAATTGCTCTGTCCTGATGTCCTGACTTGTCTGAGTACCTCTGACTGGTTTAGGCATGACACACTAGGCTAAAAAAATAGTGAGATGTTGCAGTGGTATGCACCAGTCTGGTTAACATGACACCATCATCAGACCCACATGGAATGTATTTGGAAACACTTCCCAGTGTGGCTGGTGGCTTTGCCTTTTTCCTTTGATATGACACCTTGAAAAGGCACTATTGTCTTCTCTAACTCCAGTACACCACTCACCAAAACAAAGTCACAGTGGCCAAAAAAGTCACAGCCAGTGGCCCTTCAATGAGAAGGAAAACAATCCAGTAAATTAAGGATCAAGTGGTTTAGACAAATGCCAATGTTTGTCCAATGGGAAAAGAGCAGAGGCAGTTTTACCTGACCCGTTTTACAGACATGATGAGAAGGTCCATAAGCTCTAAGTATCACAGAAAGCCAGCTCTTTATTTTATTTGGGTAGTTTTGCCTTGTTCAGATATGCCAGTGTCCTCTGTGTCCTGCTCCTCCATCCCACACAGCTGCCCATGGGATGCCGGGGCCATCCAGAAAAGACACTCTTCAAAGGACAGAGGAAGGGGCAGCAAGGTACAGTGGGCAGGCAGCTACAAGAAAGGGAGCTGCTAGGTCAGTGTTGGGGGACACAGCATGGATCAGCCTCTGCTAATGATTAATTAGAGCTACTGGTCTACAATTAGCCTTGATGACCTGTAGTCAAGAGATTTCAGATTCTGACTCTGCCTCTGTAACTCACTGCTTGCATTACTTGGGCCAAACTTAGTTTTCCCTGTCATTACATCCCTGTGTTCAATAAAATAGGGCTAAATCATTCTGGGATTCCAGCAAAGCTTTCACAAAAATAAAAGCAAAAAACAGTAACACCATTTGCCTTTACACTGGAACACAAATTGTGTATTTTCTCAATAACTGGCATTACCACAAGCAGCCATGTCTTACCATTGACCCACAGAAGGGCAGTTCAGCTCCTCACCTAAAAGTTGGCTGGTGGGGATGGCTGTGGGGTGCCGAGGGCAGGCGAGTAAGGGCTGGCTGCACGCTGCCTGCAGAGCTCTTTTCCTGGACAGCTCCTGGCTCCTGCACATCCATGTAACTCTGTAGGAAGCAGCTGCTGCTTTGGCTATGTGAGTTACATGGAGCCCACTCCTTCTGGGCAAGCTGAAACTGCACAGGCAAAGCAAAGAAGGTGCCAATAGGAGGTGGGGGGGTAGGGAGAGGCAGAAGCAAAACAGGGGATGCAATTGGAAAAATGAAAGCCGTGCCACAAACCCTTCAATATGCCAAAGACCTCAACGGGGTGGAAGTCAGTCCTGTTCTCCATGGGGTGTCTGGATCCCCTGATTTGCATCTGTGCATCACACAGCTGGCACCCCTCTATAAGGCTGTTCTCCCAAGAGCAGGGGTTTGCCCAAGGGTGCCGGGGCACGGAGGGGGCATCGTTCCCGCAGAGCAGGACGCTGTCAGCGGAGAGCCTTATAGCGAGGGTGCACTGTCTATATCTCATTTTAAGTAGAGTCCCATGCTCAATCTGTTCCAGGAGGACGAAGCTGGTGAAGGCAGGTTCAACTTCACTGCCTATGGGATGGGGCCAGCTTGCCTACAAGCCAAGGATGGCATCTCTGTCAAGGGAGCCAACAACAACAACACGGCCAACCCGGTGCCGCCGCCGTCCCGCTCCCCCGAGGAGATGAGGAAGCTCTTCATCCAGAGAGCCAAGAAAATCGACAAGATCTCCCGCATCGGCTTCCCCATGGCCTTCCTCATCTTCAACATTTTCTACTGGATCATCTACAAGATTGTCCGCAGAGAGGATGTGCACAACCAGTGAGGGGCGGGGAGCAGCCGGGAGGCAGCGAGCAATCCTTTATATATGTGCAATAGCAATGCAGCAATGCATGAGTTTAAGAATGCGGCAATATCTACTAAAAAAAAAAAAAAAAAAAAAAAAAGGGGGGCTGGTAGGGACTTTTAATCATGTGAACTGAGGGTAACTGGCACAGGGAGGAGAGAAGAAGCTCTTGATCTGGGGAGCACAGGGTGGGAGTTGGTTTTACAGCATAGGAAGGTGTGGATTGCTCCAGCAATCCAAGCAGTGTAATATAGTAATATATATTCATGCTTAATTATAATGCAAAAAGAAAACAAAAGAAAAAAAAGACCAACAAAAAAAAAAATCCTTTTTTTAGGCTATTAACAGCTTAGATTCTCAAGTCACTGGAATGATTCATGATTCCATGTGCAGAAACTACTGCAATTATGCTTTATCTGACTTTTGCTATAGAAAGGCCATTCCAGTCAAGCACGTGGGGGGAAAAAGCCCTAACAAAAGGGGAAAAGCACCTCAAGAAAATCATTCTGTGCTTCTCTAGGTTTTGCACTTTGAAAACTGCATAGACGGGGAAACTTAAGAAAGAGGCTGTGGATTGTTGTTTATTTTATATATTTACTTTTTTTAGTCACGGGTTTGCCGATCAAACACTTTGTGACTTTTGCATAGAGGAAAGCAAATACATTATCTCTCTCATCCCCACCAGAGAGCATCCAAAGGAAACCAGAGAAGGACATCAGAGCCTTCATCAGAAATCACAGGTACCTTCTGTCCTTTTAAACAACCTGGCAAGATTTGAGTCCCAGGAGGCAGAAATATTATTCAGAACACTAGAAGCAATGAAAGATTTTTAAAATAGCTTTTTTTTGTTTGTTTTCTCTTTTTTTTTCCAAACCCCTTTCTGCCATGTTTGTTTACAATGGGGGGATGGAAGCAATTGTATTTAAAATATAGAGAAAACAGGCATTTTGATGCCTTGTTTTGACAGGACCGGGCGTGTGGCAATATTGTCAGTAAGGGGGGTGGGGGGCAGGTGTGTATAGAGAGAGCAGCTTTTATTTTCTGACATTTCATAGTTATATTAATAGTGAAGCTGGGCCAATGGACCCAAAATTCTATTTTTGTATCTATTTTGGTGCTGCATTTACCTTTAACACGGATGGGAAGATGGAGCAGGCTGCCTTGCCCCTCTCTGCTGCCTGGCAGAGATGTGGGGGAGGCTGGCACAGCTTGGTGGGGATAGGGAAAGGGGGGAGGGAGGTGGGAAGGGGTGAGCAAAGGGGTTTCTCTTTGCCCAAGAGGTAGCACAGGTTGGCATTAGTGTTTGGGGTGGGGAGAAATGTGCCAAATGTCTCTAGGGTGTTACTTGAAAGCCTGGCTTGGGACCTGTGGGCAAGCCAAGGGCTTGATGTCCCACTTGTCCCTCTGGGCCCCTGGGTGTGAGCTGGCTGCAGCACCCAGGGTGACTCCGTTGTGTTTGTTTGCACTTTAGGGAGAGAGGTGAAAGAGAGCAGGAGGGAAGAGACAATCAGTCTGCACTGAAGCACTTGGGGTCAGGTCTGGGTTAGGCACCAAAAGAAGGCAGAGAGAAAAGCAGCATCCACAGGGTGCATCCACTGTCTTCCCTCTCCTGCTCAGGATGGGAGCAGAGCTGAGCTGGGCTGTTGATCTCCAGGCTCCCTCCTGCAGGGCCTGGAATAGCTCACAGCAAAGTGCCCTGGGCCACTGCCACGTCCAGTCTGGCCCAGACCAGCAGCACTCAAAAGCCTGGGATGGGAGGTTGAAGTCATGCTCAGCCGTGGGTGTCCCAACCAGCACAGAGGCAGGTGAGAGAACGAGGGAATCTGGGACCTGTCAGCTGTCCTGCACAGGGGTGATGCCAGGAGGAGAAACACCAGAGAAAACACCAGGGCTGGCTGGGGCTGGGTGCAGGGACATCTATCTCCAAGGCTGCCAATTCAGCACCTTTCACCAGCTCTAAATACACTTTAGTTTAAGAGGAAAAAAACAAAAAACA